GACCTTTGGTCATCTTGTGGTGAGTTGGAATGGGACGACTCAATCTCCGAAATATCTGAAAGAAACAAAAGTCTACAATGAGAAGCAATGGACTTTACTTCAACTCCTAGGACAAGAAAGAGACGAGGCCCAGAAGAGACAGAATTAAATGGACCCACAACCACAGAAAACAGACCACCGTGTTACTGTCGACTTGGTGTTAATTGGCCAAGATCTGCCCCGTTATAACTATCACTTCTGCTTATACTGTATATACTGTGGTTTTATTTGACCACAGCATATCCATGCCTTTTTGACCAAAGACACAACCCAAATCGTGGAGATTTACAATGCCTATGTGACTCAAATGCCCAGAATTTCATAAAGCTGTCGTGGAGAGACTAATAGCAGCGTTATACAGAGGCAGAAGGTGTGTCGGACAGGTGTGATTAATCTTTAGGAACAGAACACCCTGAGAGAGGCAGAGAAAAAGGACAGACGGAAGTGACATCTATAGAAACTGTCTTGGAAAGCAGAGATGTGTGCAAAAGCAGCTAGTGCTTGCATACATTGACACTATATTGATAGTTAAAGGAATAGTTCACCAAAAACAAAAACGAAAATTGGTCACCATTACTCACCCTCATGTCATTCCAAACCTGTCTGACTTTTTTCTTCTGTGAAACATAAAATTGGAAGAATCTGAAGACTTTACTGATTCATGTTTAAACCAAAAAACATTGGATTCACTGAGTCAGTAAAACAACCGAGGATGTGATCAGTATGATTCGTGAACGAATCATGCAGTCTGATTTGTAGACTATTTTGACCAGTTCACCTTGAAAGAATCGACTCAAAAGAAACATTTGAAATGAGAAGATTTTGAAGAAGTCTTCACTGGTTTATTTTGGAGCAGTTAAATCAAGAATCATTGCATTTACTGAGTCAGTCAAACAGCTGAGAACCGAATTAGTCTGATTTGTGAACGAATCATGCAGTCTGATTTGTAAACTGTTCATTTTGAAAAGAATGATTTACTCTTGAATCAGACATTCTCAAGTTCAACTCAGTGAATCAATGATTCAATTTCAGCATTTCTTGAGTTAGCAGCTCATATATATTTACTACTTTTATTATGCTTTTGTGTCATGTCCTATAGAAAATATCTGCATGAACGTTCTCCTAAATATTATAATTTTTGCTACACAAAAGAGAGTATCACAGGTTTTGTAACAACATGAGGGTGAACTATTCCTTTAATTTCCCATTCTAGAGCTCTACTTTGTCCAGGATAGTTGGGAATTATTTGATTACAAGTAAAACCAACAAGAAGCAGAGCAAGGAAAATGAAGTATCTCCCTGAAAGAGAAAGCAGGACAGAAGTAGTGACGGCCGGGGAGGAAGAAAAGAGTTACTGTGTGGTCTGCTGGTGATCTAAGTGCATGTCCAGTGCGTGGCCGCTGGTGGGCGGAACCCCACGACTGTCCTCCAAATCTACAACACACTCCATCCATAACAGAGCAAAAGGACACTACCGCCCACCTGCTTCAGAGCTTGGGGGGCTTAATGCTCAGAGCTAACAGAGTAAACACAGATAAATATGCTCACATCACTGTCTGCAGATAAACAGAATATAATGCACAAAATTGGTAAAATTTTTGACTCGGGAGAAATCTGTAAGTGATGCATGTTTAATTGTTTAGATCTTATTTGATTTGAAGTTTTTTTGATTTGAAGGATTTTTTGAAAATTGAAAACCACAAAAACATTTATGAAATAAATGAAAAAATAATAATAAATATATGATAACATAATTATATAATATAGAATTCTTCACTATTTAAAAAATAAATACATTTTTAAAAATGCATTAAATAAGACAATGCAAAACAGAAGACTTTTATCCTTAATGTTTACATGCACAAATTTCCCTTGCTCCAAATTAAATTCCATCTAACTGTTGATTCCATATCCTATGTTTATATGCACCCTAAAATCTGCAATATAATGAAAACATCTGTTTACATGTGATAAATGTGACCCAGGACCACAAAACCAGTCATAAGGGTCAATTTTTTGAAATTGAGATTTATACATCATCTGAAAGCTGAATAAATAAATAGCTTTCCATTGATATATGGTTTGTTAGGATAGGACAATATTTGGACAAGATACAACTATTTGAAAATCTGGAATCTGAGGGTGCAAAAAAATCTAAATATTGAGAAAATCACCTTTAAAGTTGTCCAAATGAAGTTCTTAGCAATAGACATTACTAATCAAAAATTACGTTTTGATATATTTTAGGGTAGGAAATTTACAAAATATCTTCATGGAACATGATCTTTACTTAATATCCTAATGATTTTTGGCATAAAAGAAAAATCAATAATTTTGACCCATACAATGTGTTTTTAGCGGTTGCTAGAAATATATCTGTGCTACTTAAGACTGGTTTTGTGGTCCAGGGTCACAAATCTATTCTGAACTAAATTTCTGAGCATGTCGTGCAAGAGCGGCATTAAGTAAGTGTTATGATATCATAATAGCAAGAAGCTTGTAAGTCCTGTAAAGAAGATTCAGCATCACTTCAGTGCGTAACTGGAAAGTTTGCTTTTCTAAAATGATCCCAAGAAAGCTTTTTTCTCATGTTGCTAAATTCATTTAAAAGGAAAATCAGAAGAAAATCATTAATCATTTATTCAGATGAAGGAATTTTATCTTTTTCTCTAACTGTTTACTAAAAGGCTTTTCATTTTGCTTAGGCTATCTGTCAGATTATTTATGGATTATTAGGCTGCATGTAAATGTAGTGTCTGAGGAGTATCAGGGAGGAGCAGGGAGCTGGTGTTTTCCAGGCTGTGGGGGAGAGAGGTGTGTTTCCATCTGTTGGGTGGGGATGAAATTACAGTCTGTCTCTTAAGAGGGGGAGGACAAACCACAGAGAAGAGACAGCTGTGTGTACATTCCCTGAATACAACCCAAAACAGCATGAAGAGAATGACAGAGTTTGACACTCTCACTCACTCACTCACTCACTCACTCACTCACACACACAAGATCATCCAACATCTCAATGTGTGTGTATTTGCTTTAAATTTAACCTTTCCCCCCAGAGAAATTACATAAAAAAAAGAATACATAAATAAAAAATCATTTGAAAAAAGGGAAGTTTCATGAAAAAAATTGTAAAAAATTAACACACACACACACACACACACAATAAAACTATTACATATTTTAACATTACATAAATATAACATTAAATTCAACAAATACATAAATACTAAGATACCGTAATACTAATACTAATTGCGTAGTAATTATATTTAATATAAAATATAAAGGAAAATCTAAATTATTTTTTTCATCACACCAACAAATGGAGACTTAAGAAAAATTATTAGTCAAAAACACATTAAAAGCATTATTAAAAAATGTACTGGTATAATAATATTGATATATATTGTGAATATTCCTTATTTCGCTCCGATTAATTAGTGACTAAGAATAAATATGCCACATACAGTGTGTTTAAAAGACAACATCAAATCAGAATTGACCTATTCATTTTTTTAACCCTTATCCCTGGTCTTATTTTATTTCCTTAAAAGAAACCACATTTTTATTACTTAAATAGCACAGCATACTTCATAGCAATCGAATCAAATCCAACACCGCACACCCACCCTACATTCAATATACTGTTTTACACATAAATATGTTGCATTACGGAAGTTAAATGTGTTGTGAATGCATGTTGTCTTTAGACGCAATCACCTGAATTTCCATAGAACTATGAAAGACATGAACATACTGGAGTGAATGCCAAATAAATGAGGATAAAGACACAAGGGACAGCGCTGATTTCCAACAGTAAGCCTTGAGCATCACAGTTCAACCTATCCAAGCACGTTACGCTAGCAAAGTCATGGCTTCTTGAATACAATGAACAATAAAAATGAAGAAATAGCTGAAAGCCGGCTATCACATTATCTAGTCAAAATGAAAAGTAGTGCAGAATGGCGCATACGAGGCAATGAACAGTACGTGCTGCATTTTTATGGCAGATGTGTAAATCACATCTTGATTCTACTTCTCCAACCGCACACAATGCCTACGGTGACTCATTTTCCAACGCCGTTGAATACATACATAAAGTTTTAATGCATGAAGCTGTACCACCCAGCCCCACTCGACAAGCGGATGCTTTTTCTGTACTGAAATGTACTTCTTTCCACCCGCATTTAACACCTCGAGGATGGTAGATCTGAAAAAGCCATACGATATCCAGCTGTCCCACCCTAACAACAGCTGAAGAGTATGAAATAGCATCTGAGAGACTGTGACACCCTTCCAGACAGAGTTTCTCTGCCAAGATTAAATAAGTCACCACCACACAGACATAACATTGAGTAGACTTATTTATTGATTAAAGAAGGTATTAAAAAAGAAGGTTAGCATCAAAATATAAGAGCACAGTGTGAAAGTTTTACAGGTTTGTTGAGGAACAGTCATGATTAAAGATTAAAGGCAACCAGACTTTATGTTGTGTCTCTGCAGTCCGTCAGCTAAAAGTATGACATATCTGTATTATCTGTAAAAAGAGAACACAAAAATAGCATTTCTGTTGTAAGCATGCGGTTTGCTTTTTCTCATTTAAGCGCATCTTTCTGGTGTTAAAATATTCTTTGTGTTCAAGTGTAAACAATGGTGTCTATGTATCTGATAGCAGGGTTAAGATCCCTGCTATTAACATCCATATATGTCCATGTATCTTTCAAAACAATTAGAATAAATTAAATACATTAATAAAAAAACGAGTATATTATAGTTAGCTAAAACTGAAACTAAAACCATAAAAAGCATTTATTGCTTGAAATAAAAAATGTGAACTGAAATAAAATAAAATACAAAAAAAAACAACTTTATTCCAGCTACATTTCTCATTTTAATTTGAGTTTAACTTTATGAGCCAAAATAACTAAAACTTAAGTAAAAAGCAACAAAACGATATAAACATACATAAAAACTAGTAAAAATGGAAAAAATACAATGATTTAACTACAATTAAAATTAAAATGGAATTTTTTTTTATTTAAATCAATGTACATTTAATTTATTTATTTATTTTCATAAATTGTTTTATTTACATTGTTTAAAAAATATTAAAAAAATTAATCATATATAATAATAATAATAATAATACATATTTTAATATAATATAACAATACAATAAAAATATTATTTAACAAATAACAAAATAAACATAAATTTTTACTGTATTTGAATTTATACTATTTGAATCAATTTAGATGATGTGAATTGTAATATATTATGGCTTCTGCTTTTTGATCTGACTGACATTTTCTTTAAAACTGCATCTATCAACTGAAGTTTCAAAAAAAGATTTAAAAATTGTATGCATTGTCTGGAATAAAAAATATGTGCCACTATCAAAAATGTAACTGGATCTTTTAACTGAAAAGTAAGACTTTTTTTAACACAGCTGCTATATTGAGTGTTGCGATTCCTCCCATTGGTTTTTCTATAAATGGTTTGTCCCACTATACTGTCTCTGATGTGGTCCACTAGTGGGCAGATCACCCGAGACGGATGTTAATAGCAGATATAAATGGGGGCTGTAAATCTCAGCTCTTTGCTAAAAAGCCACAGTCTGTATCTGACAATACAGTCTTGTAATTTCTAAATGACTACGTGTTCCTGTTAAATATACTATCAATCTATACTGTAACTATACAGCCAGAGGAAGTTTTATTACCCGTGTCCAACTGCATTAACACTGCATCACCTCTATAGAGGACCAGACTCATTAAATCCATGGCATATAGTTGAAATTATGCCACTGGATGATAACCCTGCTCTGATACAGAGAGTGACAAATTGGGTTTTGTGCTTCAATACTCATATCGAGTCTATTAATAGTGATTCACATAATTAACGGTAATTTATTACAGCCTCAGCGCCTAGCGAATGTGTACTTGATATTACTAATCTGATTTATCCGAGCCAATTCACGCTACCTGCTTTTAATTAGTGTGGTGTTGGAGAGCAAACAGCCAGAGGGTGAGCAGCACGGCTCAGGAAGCGCTGTCTATGAACAAATGCAGTGTGATAGGAGGAGCTTACCGTCAGCCTCAGAGTCGCTGTCTGCCAGGGCAGGAATGCGCACCAGGATCTGTCGGTGGTCTCTCTGGACCACCAGTTGCAGCTTGCCCCGTGATTTCTCAATCAGCTTGCCGGCGTCACTCAGAGAGAGGTTCTCAGTCACCGTCCCGTTGATCTAGAAAAAAACAGACAGAGACATATCATTACTGGTTTAAGTCTGATGTTAAGGAGTTTGAGTGGAGTTGTGTGAACGGTTGATGGATATATACAGTATCTCACAGAAGTGAATACACCCCTCACATTTTTGTAAATATACTGATAAATCGTTATTTTCTGTGATTAGAACAAAATAAATTGTAATTATTGATTACTTCCCCGATACTGTATTTGCAAATAATATTAATTTAAATGAGTAGACTATATTAGAATATAATATTTAGATCCAAATATGTCCATGTACTTTTTAAAACTACTGGAATAAATTAAATAAATACATTTAAAAGAAAAAAAATCAGGGTTATTATAGTTAACTAAAACTGAAACCATACAACGGTTAAAAAAACAAAATTCATGTTAGTTTAAATACAATAAATGTTAACTGAAATAAAATATATAAAAAAAAGTTCTCAACATTTCTAAAAAAAATTATTATATTAAAATATATTTAGAAATTACACATTTACATTTATTATATTTTATTACTTTCATTTTATTTTATATTACCTATTTACATAGTTTATTAAGTAAAACATGTATTGCAAAATAATGTAAATTTACTGTATTACATCAATTGTTTATGTCATTAACTATCTTTAAACTATGTGAAATCATGAATATATTATTTATTTTATTTTTATTTATTTAGTCATTTATTAGACGCTTTTATCCAAAGCGACTTACAAATGAGGACAACAGAAGCAATCAATTGTA